CGTTTTCCCCTCAGATTGAAATGATTTCACGGCCAAATGATGATCCGGCACTCCAGTACGCTTCTGTGCGAACTCCTCTTTCAACTCCTTGTCCATGAGGGCGTTATCGAGTCCCCTTCATCTCTCGCACTCCCCTCACCTCCCACTCCCCTCTCCGCTTCCCATCTCCTTTTCCTCTGGTCTGCATTTCCCCTCTTTCTCCTTTTACCTTCTCTTCCCCCGCTCTCCTTTCATCATCACGTCCCTCTCGGCATTTCTCCTCTCCTCCTCCTCCTCCGTCCCACCGAATCGCTCCCCCACCCCACTCCCCTCCCTTCCTCCCCCACACTACTCCTCCCTTTCTCCTACTACCCTTGTCTTCTCCCCATTAGTTCTGTTTTACCCCTCCTTAACCCTTACTACCACTCCTTACCCCTTACCCCTCATTACCCCTTCCCATTCTTTACCTTCCACTGCCCCCTCCTTACCCTCCTCCTCCATCCCACCTCCCCCTCCTACCCTCCACCTCCTTGCCCTCTACTATGCTTCCTTACCTTCCACTGCCCCTTCCTTACCCCTTCCTCTCCCCCAGTGCAAACCCCGGGGCGTTATGTGATACATCTAAAGAATCCTCATTATGCAGAAATACGTCTGAGCCTGTGAGACTGTTTCGGGGCAGGAATCGATGCATTGTTTACCTTCCTTTGTTCTTTACTTTTCTGTTGTTTTAGTGTATACGCAAATGTAGACGTCTTTCTTGTTTGTTTGTATGTATATTTACCCATTGCTTATTTGGTGTTTTTTTTCTCTTTTTGCAGGTAAGCCCAGTTTTGAGTGCGCGGGCGGGCAGGGCGTGTGAGAGGCAAGGAAGGTAAACTAAATACGGAATTTCTTTGACTCCTGTTGCAGGTGTGAGGTCACGGTATTGCAGGTGTGAGGTCACGGTATTGTCGTTTCACGTTGCTTCATGTTGGCCGGTATGTTGTGCAGCATTACATTATGTCACAGCGCCCCCGACCCCTTCCTCCGCTGTTCGCTAAATGTACAGAGCGCCAGGCTATTCGCGCTGTGTGGTATTTTGGCGTGTTCCACATCTGCTTAACATTTTGGTCAGTGCGATATTCCGGCAGACATTTTTATGTTCGTGCTTGGGGGCGGGGCGGACACGAAATTACATTTTGGAGCGCTCGGCAATTTGTTTATTGTGAAGTCCTCTTGATATTCTACAAGGTTATGAAAACGGTTCTTGCCGATGGAGGAAATTTTGCGGTTTTGAAAGTATTCTTTTTTTTTCTCTCTCGTGTTCCTCTTCCACTTCTCCTCCTCTTCAGTGTTTTTTTGCTTCTCTTCTTCTCTTGTCATAACGAATATTTAGAAGGTCGTTTCCAATTTTTTCGGGACGTTAATAGGAAGAGGCTAAAAGAACGCTGGTCCGGAAGACCTTTTCTTCTGGACAGCGGAGGGCGCGGGCCTGACCTCTTCTTCCAGCGAACCCAACGTACGAGCCAACCGAAACTTAGTTATTGGTTTTAGCCGTGTCTGTATTTATCTATTCATTTATTCATTTGTTTTTGTTTTATTTTAGTTCTTTCATTTTAAACATTTTAAGAAAACAATTTGTTGGCTATTGTTTCATTTTTATCGGTCTGTTTTTCCGCAATTTCTTTTTACTGTGCGAATAATCTTTTTTCGAAGCTTCTTTTCACTGTGCGAATAAGAGCACGCTTTGACAACGTTTTCTGTTTCCAAGATTGGGAAAACTCGACCCGCCATTGGAAGTGTTGTATCGCATAATGGATGAACTGAAGGCGGTCCTCTGCTTTAACATTCCAAGACTTTATTCGCACTTCTCTTTTGCTTTTGTCGACGGTAAGGACCGTTGGGTTTGTGATTTGGATTTTTTAAAAAGAGAGATTTTGAATTGTGACAGTGTTGCCGATGATGATGATTATGATGCCATTGATAATCAATGTCAGCGGTGATAATGATTGCCAGTAATACTATTAATGAAAGCAAAAGTGCACGGTAATATTAATGAAGGATATTATGATGATAACATTCAGGAATAGCTTTTTGTCCCCAGACGTGCTAGCACTTTGGCAAGAGTTATTTTCAGTTTGACGAGATCCTCCCGCTTTGAAAGGGAGTTTAAAAGTGGAAGAAAAGAATAATCGCGGGTACAGAATTTTTGAGAGAGGTGGTTTTCTTTAGTTTTAATTTATGTTTTACGATTATACTTATTGTGCTTATTTTTATTGTTGTTATTATTATTATTATTGTTGTTGTTCTTCTTTATAGACAATGAAAGAGAGAGAGAGAGAATGAGAGAATGAGAGGGGAAGGGATGGTGGGGAAAAAAGTAGATATAGAAATCGATCCCGTCTCTGACAGGAGGAAAGGGGTTGAGAAGCGGGAAAGAAAAAAAAAGGTGGGAGAGAGAGGGTCCCGCCAGGACTCCAAACCTCTTGAGACGAGAAAGAGGGAAAGGTTCGTCTGCCGGTGAGTTAAATAAATTCGTTCGGGTTCCGACAGCAGCTGATGCACCAGCAGTGGGGAAGGGGGGGGGGGCGAGGGAAGGGGCTTAGGGAGAGGGAAGGGGTCGGGGAGGAGGGGAAGGGAAGGGAAGAAGAAGAAAGGGAGAGGGGGGGAAGGGGTTGGGGAGGAGGGGAAGGGAGAAGGAGAAAGGAGAGAGAGTGAGGGAGAAGGAGAAGGGGCTGGGGTGGAGTGAGTGACAGTAAGAGAGGAGAGGGAAGGGGGTCGTGGAGGAGGGAAGGGAGTGGGAGGGAAGTGGCGGGTTTGTGGGGGGGGGGAGGGGTATGTATTCGCGCCTGATGTTCTAAGTGGTATCGATTTCTTCGGGACGTTTTTAGCATTGTCAGGGTGATGCGTCATCGTTATTCGTGACATTTTAGATGTTATTGGCATGTTTCGTCATCCTTTTTTTGTTGCTATTAGTATTTTAATTTTAATGATGATATTGATAATAGTTATGATGGTGATGATAGTTTTGATGATGGTAGTTATGATATTGATGGTAATGATTGATAATTATTATGTAATTATTAGTTTTTTTTTATCACCATTAGTCATCATCGTCATCATTACTGTATCATCAATATTATTACTAATGTTATTACTAGTATTTTTATTTCTTTTATGATCGTCATTGTTAATACCATTATTTTGTATATCATATTATTGCTGTTATTTTGATTATCACTATCATTACTGTTATTTTGTTATGCGATTATTTTTGTTATCAACACCATCATTATCATCATCGTTTTTCATTATCAATGTTATTATTGTTTAGATATTTTTATTATTGCCATTATTTTATTATTATTTATATTTTTTTTATTATCATTAATACTTCTCGTTTATTTATTCCTTCGTTTATTCACAGCCATAGCTCGCGTTTGTCTATTGTTATTGCTGTTCGTTTTTTATTTGTTTGTTTGTTTGTTATTTGACCGAAGCGCCCTCTTGACCCCCTCTTCACTATTCTGTAGATAATACACCATCACTTGTCTCACACTTTCTTCTCTCTCTCTTTTTTCATTCTTTTTCTTTCCCTTCTACTCCTTCGCACACCCTTTTTGCTCTTCACTGTCTTCTTCCCTTCTCCCTCTTCGCTCTCTTTTTCCCCTTCTCCCTCTTCTCTCTCTCCTTCTTTCAATCTCTTCTATCTCTCCCTCCCTTTTCCTCTTCTCTCTCTCTCCCCATACCCCTTTCTTCTCCCTTCCCTACTCCCTCTTTCTCCCTTACCCTTTATCTTACCCTATTTCAGTCCCAATCTTCCTGCAAGCGTTGCAGTTGCGCTGTATTGCCTATGCAACGACCTGTTCTTGATGCGGCGAACCGAGACGAAGTGGAAAAGCGGACGAGCGTCGTCGGGGCAACACAGGTCGTTTATTCAGGGCCAAGGAGGGTCGTCGTCGTCGGGAAAGTCGTTGGCGTACTCAGGTCAGGTGTCTCTCAGTCGCCAGGAGAGTCGTCAGATCTCAGTCGGCGTCATCTCAGGTCGTCAGAGTAATCTCAGGTCGTCAGAAGGTCGTCGGTCGTCGGGGTCGTCGGGAGAGTCGGCTCATCTCAGGTCAGAGTCGTCGGCGCATCTCAGAGAGTCGTCGGCTCATCTCAGGTCGTCAGGAGAGTCGTCGGCGCATCTCAGGTCGTCAGTCGTCGGTCACGTCGGCGCATCTCAGGTCGCCAGTCGTCGGCGCATCTCAACCACGGAGAGTCGTTAACGAGCCTCTTCCTGTGTACCTGACTGGAAGACCGATTGCTACGTTTAGGCCTATGAAGGAAAGGAGGAAATTAATTGTGTCGTTTTCTTTTAGATTTCGAGAAGAAAACGAAAGAAGTGGGAGAAGAGGAAGAGTAATAGGCGGAGGGGGCGGGTGACTAAAAAGGAGAATTGGAATAGGGGGAGAGGAAGAAATGGGAAGGGGGAAAAGAAAGAATGAAGGAAAATAAGAAGTTTAAACAATTTGATAAGGAGAAGTGGGAAGAGCAAAAGGAGAAATAAAAAGAAAAGAGGAAATTAAGAGAAAAAAAGAGAAAAAAAAATGGGACGAAAAAAAAAATGTATATATAGGATATAGTAAGAAAAATGGGAAGAAAAGGGAGAGAGATGGAAAGGAAAGGAGAAGGAGCGATGTCCAAAATAAGTGAAGAAAAAGAAAAAAGAGTGGAAGATAAAGAAGGAAGAGAAGAGAGGAGGAGGAGGAGGAAAAGAAGGAGAAGGGGGAGGAGGAGAAGAAGGTGAGGAGAGAAGAAGGTGGAGAGGACGAGAAGAAAGGTGGAGGACGAGAGAAGTGGAGGACGAGGAGAAGGTGGAGGACGAGAAGAGGAGGAGGAGAGAAAGAAGGTGGAGGAGGAGGAGGAGGATGGAGAAAGAATCCTCGCAGCGCACCAGGCAGTTTCCACCATCGCAGCCGGGGGACGATTATCCCGCGAGGATAACGTTGCGTCGCCGGGCTCGAGAGGCTCTTACGCTAACCGGGCGGAAGAAGCGATACGTGGGCGTCTGCTGCGCGTGTTTGCCTTGGGAGTGGCGGTCTCGGCTGCCGGAGGAGGCGCGGGTCGGGGCGGAGAGGGCTTTGGGCGGCGCGCGA